GTACATTTATATGATAGCATTACTGACAGATTATTTATAAAACCTCAGGACTGAATGCTCTCAAATTAGATAATCATAGTTCACCTAACTCTGTTCGCACGAGGATAAAATCGAGAGGGCGCCGCGGGTGCTTGCAATGAGAAGGATTAAAAGACTGTGATAAACTGTTGAAAATCTATATAATACTACCTTATAAACTACCTTATAAAATGTCAACTAAATACCTTGTCTTTCAACCGATTTCAAGACTAACGTAAAAAAAAATCAACTTAAGTCATAGGCTCCCCCATACACACTTTTATGTTAAAATGATATTGTAAAAATCACAATTTTATTTTTCATAATTATGTAAATATTTTTTTCATGATGGACAATTTGGTTATGCAGAATACCTGTGTGTGGAAAGTATTTCCGGTTCATGACGTCTCCTTGCGCTAGTAGATGTTTAGGTTTGAGATAATATATGCCCAAACGATTTATTCTTAGGTCGTTCTCAACCTCTTTTCGAGAATGAATTTATCATGCTACTGATAGGTGTTATAAAGTAGTACATTGATGACGGATAATTATAATCAATGACATGTCTAGCCCCCTGACTGTAAAATCATGTTCGGCAAATCTATGGAACGTCAAATTAATCTTGGAATTTACATCTAACCTCCAATTTAATGATGGTTGTTGTAACTGTTGAATTACGAAGTAACTTGGAAATAATTGGTTCACTACCCTTATACGTCTTTTCCATTAAAAAAACCTATTGCAACCATCTGTTTTAAACCAGAATTAGGCTTTGATTAGCCTATCGTTAAAATAAGAAAGTTATTTACAAGGTCTTTTGGTTTTGCAAGAAGCGTGTCATCATCATAAAGTTACAGAAAGCTTGAATTCTTTGTCAAAATAGCATCTTTTACCTTGGTTTAAATGTTCTTAAACATTAACTGATTTAGAAAGACGTCATGCTCAGTATTTTCAGTAAGACGTATTGAAACATTTACTTATCTAGTTTGTAAATAGAGGATCTTACATGAGTGTCCATGCCATAATTAATTTATTGAACAGTTCAATAATTGTATATGAGGCTCAAGCAATTACATGCTATTTGATTTATTAACAGGTTGGGGTTATGTATCACAAAACATTTGTCATCAATGGTTTGTCACGTGACTTTCCGTTATCAAGAGCAGTAACATCGTGATATATATATGTAGACAGGCATACAAGTTAAGCCCTGATTTTAGTGTAGGGTGACATATACAACTGTTTGAACATGTCTTCATACTAGACATGGCTATGCTCATAATGAATTACAATAGGTAAATATTTACTATATAAAGTACATCGTACGACCTGGCATTATTTACGGATTAATGTCTCTGATGGAGACAGATGGATTAGATTATATTTATTATGTCCAAAATGTCGTCCGTGATTTATGATCTTGTCGAGAGGGTGATATGTGTCCGTCTAACCTACCATATGAGGGTCAATATTCATTCAGGCTTGCTCCTGATTGCAGGTAACTATACATATACAAATGTTAATATATGCATATGTTTATATATATATATTGGTCGTCCATGTTAATCCGAGGAGGAAATATATACTGTAAGAATGTTTTATAATTATGATTGTAGCCAGCTATTACACAGCAGTGTTCAAGCCCCAGTCTATATCTCCGCTTCAAAATATAACCCCAAGGGGAAAATAATGAGGTCTTGTTTGTAAAATACAACAAAGTACATTCGGACCTCGGGGTGTAGCACACGAAAGTAATTCGTTTTGTCATAAAGTACACATGTGACATTACAGACGGAAATCCGAAATGTGGCATTTAACAAACCACGTTTATCCTTATCATTCTACCATGTCGCATTCGTGGCATTTTCTTATTTCTTGTATGTATTTAAATAATAGTTACTAAATAAATGTGATTTATAACCTTCTCTTTCGTACAAAAGAAGTATATGAGATTTCATTTTTAATTGCGTTCAAATTAATCTACTTTTATGTATTTCCACTTCATTCATTCCGAAATTAGTACTAAAAATCTCCAAGGCACATTAACTTATCAAAAACAACCTACATGGATAAACACATCTGAGATTACCAAAAAAAAAATGGAAAACTAACAAACTACCTTTAAAAGTAAATATATTTTACCGAAGTGTCTGACATAGAGTAAAATACGTGCAAACAGAAAAGATATCCCAAAACTATTCACGTTTTTCCGACATAGTATTAGAGGCATTTGGGTAAAGAATATGTACGTAGATTACACCTGTTGTATAAGAACGGCGTGTGCATAATGCATACGAAACATAAATAATAGAAAACGAAAGGTGAACAAGTACATGTAAATATTACCTATTTCTATCTTATAAACAGACATGTGAAATTAAGTAATTAATAAAAAGAAAGCTCATGATTTATATGACCACATGTAAATGATAGCTTTTCTTGAAATGACATTTGATTGGTTCTCAATGAGATTCTTAATATGCGTTACTCTCTAAGACAAAAATGTGTCAAAGACTTCAACAGTCACATCAATAACATAAATCACAACCTGACACAAACATTAATACATTGCTATCTCCTACCTATATATAATAAACGTAGGTATACAATTGTGTAAACTAACAGTGGCATTTCTTGCATGTCCATTATATATAACATATAATTCACCCGTTGTCTGTTGCTCAGTCTGACTGATTGTTTAATCAATAAAATATATTCAATTAAACGCGTATAACAAAAATTGTTAAATGCGTAACGGAGAATTTTACATATTTTCAATTTGTTTTATCAAGGAGTTAGATCACTGTTCATGGTTTTATTTTTTTGTTTTGTATTCCAATTAGTTAATTGATTTTTTTTTATTATTACGGTTTTATTTATTTGTTCTCTCTCAATTTTAATGTATAATAATAAACCTCAATAAAAGTTCCCCATTCTAATAATTGAACCTTTGTTGAATTCTCTCACAACTTAATTGAGGAAGATACGTTTCTTTTCCACATGTAGAAATCGAGATTTATACAGATGGTGACAGTATAAGACAGGTACTGAGGACATCCTTGCGTGGTCTTACGCCTTTTGTAAAGCTTTATCTCGCCTGTGTATTCGTTAGTGGGCCAGATTTGACGTCAGCACTATCGCAATATCTCTGTGTGTTATTTCGGTCTGGTGGTTTATGGAGTAAACATTACCATTAATTGTGATCGAATCATCTCCTCCATTCAAACGGTGCACTCAAAACCCTAGGGTCATTCTTCAGAAGCACTCAACACCCTCGGGTACTTCTTCAATTCTGTCTTAATATTGCAAATAAATCTGACATAGCAATAATGTCTTTAATATACAAAGTAAGCACTTGTAAACAGTTAGTACCTTGTAAATAATGTGTTTCCAAGTTAATGACTTCTCACGTTCGTAATGATGTTTATTTTTTTAATATTTGTTTTTCGATTTCAATGATATGACAGATATTTATTTGATCACCATATTATATTTTCTAACGGTTCTTACATCAAGTAATGTATGCTCCTAGCCTGTAGTTGAATACCTCCATGTGTATTTTGTTGTATGAACACACCATGACCACCTACATAATATATGATATATGGGGGACATTTCTTCTATGTATTGTCACCACTGGTCATTTATATTCCTTGGCTGACCAGGAAAGCACTAGGAGTGAGGTTTATGTGGGCCAAAGGACACTGCTCGCGCAGGTAAATAGAACCTAACGGTGAAAAGAAGTTTTCATTTCCACGTTCACATAATCCATCACTAGGACACGGAAATGATTAACGGTCATTAAGACGTAGAGATCGGACCTATATACTGTTACATTCTCAACGCGTTTCAATGACCTGCATCGCGAACTGACACATGACTTCGACATCCAATCCATGAGGAAATCGCCTTATTTGTATCCGCCTTTGTCTATATGAATGAGTTGGTGTTGTAGTAATTACATTAACACAGCTATCGCTTACGCTCAGCCACAGACATTAACTGATGTGCCTGGTGAGATATTCAGCATGATATTCAATGACAGGTGATGTTCCGTTGTAGAATAAGGAGACTTCTGTTACTACCGAAATGTTTAATATTCCCCATTGGATTTACAAATGTGTTTGTGTGTGTGTGTTATCTTTCAGATGGATGTAATTCTTACAAAATTTACTTAATGCGTGTGTGTTAACCAGCAGAAGGTTCTTATGACATGGAGTACTCGCAGAGAAACTTTTTTCACGTACACATTTTTCAACGACGTGATATTAACACCGAGGACTTTTGATAACATAGAAATAATCATTTCGGCAACTTATATTGTTACACGAAGAAGTACATCTCAGTTAAATAATACAGTTACTATGCGAATTTGTAAAGGAAGTATGATGATTAAATGTGTTTGGTGCGGTTGGCTATTGCCATTTCTAATTAATTATATAAGTGTTTTATTTCTTCTTCTTGTGGCAAGAGGAAATAATGCATCAGAGCTTCAGAGAGTGAGGAGGCAGGACTTCTTCGGAGGTACAAAACCAGAAGGAGCAAGCTGTTTGTTTGATCCGTGTTTAAATATAGACAATTATTGTAAGAATTCAGGGACGTGTTTTCTCAACTTGACAACGTGTATGTTTAAATGTTTTTGTGCACCACAGTATACAGGACCAAAATGTAGTCACCTTATTCCTCTCAGTACCCTTCCGTTCACCGTACCGATGTCAACGTCACCTTCCCCTCCTGTTATCACCGTCAACCAAAGCATACCTAGTACAACGTTACGACCCCAAGAGGAACGTGAATGTATCGAGGGATTCGAATGTATCCATGGCTATTGTGACAAGAATTTCGGATTTAAATGTGCATGTGATTACGGGTGGACAGGGGCTTTTTGTGAGCATTTAAAATGTCCTCTGCAATGCCCTCTTGACACGAAATGTATGTTGGTGAACGGAACATTTTATTGTTTTAAACCGAAAACCGAAATCCAACAGCTAGCTGCTACGACAACGGAAATCACACCAGAAGTAATTCCAGGTGTCATCAACAAATGTGATTGTGCGAATAGCACTGAAAGTAGTGGATTGTGTGAAAAGAATTGCTGTCGTTTGCAATGTTTACGTAATGGTACATGTCAAAAGAACGTTCAAGGTGGTGAATATTGCAAATGTCAAACCGGATATTATGGGGCGTTGTGCGAAAGGACGCTGATCGACAGTTGGAGTGATGAATTTCGGAAGGAGAATGCTTGTTTCCCAAATTACACCATTAGGCCTTTACATCTACGCGAGTGCCTCATAAATTTTGTCTGCATCTATGGACAATGCAAAAGTCCAATAATGAATGGAGGTGGCCTTCAACTTGAATGTGAGTGTGACGAAGGTGGAATAGGGGACCTGTGTCAGAATCAGTGCTGTCTTCAGTGTGCAGAGCATGGGAAATGCAGACAGTATATAAATGGCCCTGAGTACTGTTATTGTGAGTACGACTACGAGGGCCAGTTCTGCGAAAGAAAGATAATTATAGAAGGTAAGTAACCTCCTAAGCCATAGTATAACCACAGAACCCCTTTTTTCACGACATACATTTTTATCTTGTGTTAAGCTTTGCATCTTCTCTATTCAGCCAATTAATAACGAGTGTTACAGAAATAAGGTAAGATCATTGCTGAATTATTTAACTGCACCTTCGGATGTGTTGAGACTGTTATAATATTTGCATTCCACTTATCATTCAAAATTTGAAATCAATATACCATAGGACTCGTCTTCTTCTGTTTCATATTCTTGACGTTTACACAACGATGACATTGATACGAAACTTTATGATAAACCGTGATGGCTTCAATTACATGCTCGGTAATTTTCCTTTTCATCAACAGTTCCAAACCAGCCTTTCCTGTTTGTGGAGTTTACAATTAATAGTTGAGTCACAATTCCAGAACTTGTTTTTAAATATCGGGATTTTTCTAGATAGTTGGCTCTCTCTTATTGACCATTGAAGTATTTGACCAGGGGTTTTAAAGATATCATTCCAAAGTTACCAACATTCAATTTCCAACAATGCAATTTAATTGTCCATCAGGCTCCAACAAAGCAACGTCATTGCTCATCATGATCAGAATCTTGCCCAATATCGCCTACATAGTTAGTGATCTACATACTTTTTTAAATTTTGAATGATACATCGTGATGGGTTCCACAAGTGAGAAAGGAACATCTCTAGCTTGTTTTGTTGGAATGTTATTACTTTTTTTTTTTTTTCAAAATGTTATCTTATTTATTCTATTTATTTATTTAAATGAATAAAATTATTTCTTGTTTTTTCAGATCTTTTTTGTAACTTTTTCTTTCGACTTTGAATTCAGAATTTGTCCTTTGGGTGTCTTAAAACCATTACCGATTAAAGGGAACGTAATTAAGTTTAGACAAACCTTATTTCGTTCTGTATAATTTCCTTTGGTGAACATCTGTATATTCTATGCTGATTCTGCATGCATGGAATGCTTGTTACATACAAGGTGTTTCCATTTTGAGTCTAGTCAATAGAGGATATTTTAATAAGATAAGAATACATGCATTGTAATAAGATATCATGTTGCAAAAACAACTATTTAGAAACTGCCTCATTAATCTAGTGCATATAGATGTCATTCACCTTGGTAGGTGAACATGGACACTTGTGTCTTCACCTGCGGCGTGTCATTTACAAAGACAGGATTAACTTTATACAAAACACTGTATAACTTGTTCGTTTTGTATATTATGTCACACTTGTAATATCGAGAGGTGTGTATCTACACGTTAATGTATGAGAACATTTGAAAGTGTACTCAAATATGACACCAATATCGATTTACCACATTTATCCAAATAATTTCTTTGCGAAGAATGTATTAATAAACAAAAATAAAAACAAATATTAGAGACAATGAGAGAGTGACATTATCACAAATTCATTATTGTCACGTAATCGGTATAGAACACACATAGCATTGATGTAATACAGACTCATACATATCACCGGTGTTATACAAACACATACACTGTATCACTGGTGTAATACAAACACATATCACTGGTGTTAATACAAACACATATCACTGATGTTATACAAACACGTATCCCGGGTGTAATACAAACACATATCACTGGTGTAATACAAACACATATCACTGGTGTTAATACAAACACATATAACTGAGGTTATACAAACACGCATCCCTGGTGTAATACAAACACATATCACTGGTGTAATACTAACACATATCACTGATGTAATACAAAAACATATCCCTGGTGTAATACAAACACGTATCACTGGTGTAATACAAACACATATCACTGGTGTTAATACAAACACGTATCCCTGGTGTAATACTAACACATATCACTGGTGTAATACAAACACATATCACTGCTGTAATACAAACACATATCACTGAAGAAATAAACAAACATATCACTGATGTAAAACAAAAACATATCACTGATGTTATACAAACACGTATCCCTGGTGTAATACAAACACATATCACTGGTGTAATACTAACCCATATAACTAGTGTAATACTAACACATTGGTGTAATACAAACACATATACCTGGTGTAATACTAACAGTAATACAAACACATATCACTGGTGTTAATACAAACACGTATCCCTGCTGTAATACAAACACATATCACTGGGGTAATACTAACACATATCACTGATGTAATACAAACACGTATCCCTGCTGTGTAATACAAACACATATCAATGATGTAATACAAACACAGATCACTGATGTAATACAAACACGTATCACAGGTGTTAATACAAATACGTATCCCTGGTGTAATTCAAACACATACACTGTATCACTGGTGTAATACAAACCCATATAACTGGTGTAATACAAACACATATACCTGGTGTAATACTAACAGTAATACAAACACATATCACTGGTGTTAATACAAACATGTATCCCTGGTGTAATACAAACACATATACCTGGTGTAATACTAACAGTAATACAAACACATATCACTGGTGTTATACAAACACATATCACTGCTGTAATACAAACACATGTCACTGAAGAAATAAACAAACATATCACAGATGTAAAACAAAAACATATCACTGATGTTATACAAACACGTATCCCTGTTGTAATACAAACACATATCACTGGTGTTATACAAACACATATCACTGGTGTTAATACAAACACGTATCCATGGAGTAATACTAACACATATCACTGGCGTAATGCAAACACATATCACTGGTGTAATACAAAGGCATATCACTGGTGTAATACAAGCACATATCACTGGTGTTAATACAAACACGTATCCATGGAGTAATACTAACACATATCACTGGCGTAATGCAAACACATATCACTGGTGTAATACTAACGCATATCACTGGTGTAATACAAACTCATATCCCTGGTGTAATACTAACACATATCCCTGGTGTAATGCTAACACATATCACTGGTGTAATGCTAACACATATCACTGGTGTAATACTAACACATACCCCTAGTGTAATACAACACAGATCACTGGTGTAATACTAACACATATCCCTGGTGTAATACAAACACATATACCTGGTGTAATACTAACAGTAATACAAACACATATCACTTGTGTAATACAAACACATATCACTGAAGAAATAAACAAACATATCACAGATGTAAAACAAAAACATATCACTGATGTTATACAAATCACTGGTGTAATACAAACAAATATCACTGATGTAATACAAACAAATATCACTGATGTAATACAAACACGTATCCCAGGTGTAATACAAACACATATAACTTATGTAATACAAACACATATCACTGATGTAATACAAACACGTATCCCAGGTGTAATACAAACACATATACCTGGTGTAATACTAACAGTAATACAAACACATATCACTAGTGTAATACTAACACATTGGTGTAATACAAACACATATAACTGATGTAATACCAACACATATCACTGGTGTAATACTAACACATATCACTGGTGTAATGCAAACACATATCACTGGTGTAATACAAACACATATCTCTGGTGTAATACTAACACATATCCCTGGTGTAATACTAACACATATCCCTAGTGTAATACAACACATATCACTGGTGTAATACTAACACATATAACTAGTGTAATACTAACACATATCACTGATGTAATACAAACACATATCACTGATGTTATACAAACACGTATCCCTGGTGTAATACAAACGCATATCACTGGTGTAATACAAACACATATCACCGGTGTAATACAAACACATATCACTGATGTTTGTATTACATCAGTGATATGTGTTAGTATTACACCAGTGATATCAATGATGTAATACAAACACATATCACTGATGTTATAGAAACACGTATCCCTGGTGTAATACAAACACATATCACTGATGTTATACAAACACATATCCCTGGTGTAATACAAACACATATCACTGGTGTAATACTAACTCATATCACTGATGTAATACAAACACGTATCACTGGTGGAATACAAACACATATCACCGGTGTAATACAAACACATATCCCTGGTGTAATACAAACACATATAACTGATTTAATACAAACACATATCACTGGTGTAATACTAACTCATATCACTGATGTAATACAAACACGTATCACTGGTGTAATACAAACACATATCACCGGTGTAATACAAACACATATCCCTGGTGTAATACTAACACATACCCCTAGTGTAATACAACACAGATCACTGGTGTAATACTAACACATATAACTAGTGTAATACTAACACATATCACTGATGTAATACAAACACATATCCCTGATGTTATATAAACACGTATCCCTGGTGTATACAAACACATATCACTGATGTTATACAAACACATATCACTGGTGTAATACATATCACTGATGTAATACAAACACATATCACTTGTGTAATACAGACACATATCACTGATGTAATACAAACACGTATCACTGGTGTAATACAAACACATATCACCGGTGTAATACAAACACATATCACTGATGTAATACAAACAGATATCAATGATGTAATACAAACACATATCACTGGTGTAATACTAACACATATCACTGATGTAATACAAACACGTATCCCAGGTGTAATACAAACACATATAACTGGTGTAATACAAACACATATCACTGATGTAATACAAACACATATCACTGGTGTAATACTAACACATATCACTGATGTAATACAAACACATATCACTGAAGTAATACAAAAACTTATCACTGGTGTAATACAAACACATATCCCTTGTGTAATACTAACACATATCACTGGTGTAATACAAACACATATCACTGATGTAATACAAACACTTATCACTGGTGTAATACAAACACATATCTCTTGTGTAATACAAACACATATCACTGGTGTAATACAAACACATATAACTGGTGTAATACTAACACATATCACTTGTGTAATACAAACACATATCACTGATGTAATAC